TTTGGATTGAGACTATCTGCATTATCTAGGTACAAATGAGTTATGAATGTTCTGAAAAAAATTCCGGCAGCTAGCTAATTGCTATCAGGGTATGTCACTTTTATGGTACGTTTTTAAATGAACGTCGTGGTCTCCTTCAGGAATATCAGAAAAAATGATTTTCGAATTTCGACTTGGGACTTTATAAAGAAACAGACGTTGTCAAGAATAGTTTTTTGTGAAAGTTTCAAGTCTTTTGATTTATTCCCATCCTGAAATTATATGGATAGAAGTATTAAATTTAACAAATATAAAAGCTTAATGATGTCGCGACTCCAATTGACTTCATGACTTTACATTTAAAACAATTGAGAGTTTAAGATCGTGAAGGCTATGACTGATTGTAAAACCATGCATATAAGTGACTCGAGGACATTAGAGCTTCAAGATTATGACTAAGATTCCAGAGTCTGTCTTCAAGAAACGGGAAGACGTTAGGACTCGACACTATAGCTGACTTCAAGTAAGATGCGTAGAGGATTTCTTAAAATCGAGTATGTCTTGAATTGTTTTGTCGGGTAGCGATCGAAAAACTATACAGTCAGGTCAAAAAGTATTCGGATGCTAGAGACTATTTCCACCCTTCTTGAAAAGTCACTTCGGTCAGTTTACGTATAAATTGCATGAATTTTTTCAAGGTATGTTGGGACTGTTGTGGAGAGATTATGTTAAAATTTTTCACTTAATACCATTACGTTTGAGGGAGACATTCATCAAATAAGGAACAAAAATAGTTCATTTGATCTTCCAAAATTCTCTGCGGGCCTTGATTCTATATAATTCAATATTTTTTTGCTTGAAAGGGTTTGTCAGAATGCAGAACATGACAGAACCTTTTTCTTTCAGTTCTTTCTTTTCAAACCAGAGAAAAGTAATGAGAAGTTCAATAACTCAAAAACCTTTTTAAAAATCGGGAAAATCTACCGTTTCTCAAGGTTTCTTCGAGCTTCTGGGTTATTGAACTTCTAATCACTTTTCGCCAGGTTGAAAAGTAAGAATTTAAAGAGAAACGTTCTGTGATGCTCTTTTAAACGAAAAAAAAATTGAATATAACGGGTGGTGCATAAAGAACAAGATAAAATGTTTCCCTCTTTTGTTTAGAGCACTTTCCAAGGTATTAAAGATTCCGTTTTAGGCTCATTCGATAGAGAATTTTTCGCTCTACAAAACTGTCGACTTTGTTTTTCAAATAAGCTTTTACTATTGATGACATATCGAATAGATTGATGGCCTCTCAATCGTCCAACTGCAACTGTCAGAAAGCAAAACAATTATTAAAAATATTTTAAAACAAAGCTCTGCCGAAATTCAAACTATACTGCAAGATACTCTGTGAAATTCTGCATCTCATGATGTTGCGTACCTTTAGAAAAAACATTTGGAAGAACAATTTTTTAAGCAAAAATTAGAAACAACGCAAAAATCCCGTTTCTGACAGGCCTATGCCATTGTTTGTTTTTAACTCAGGATAACCTAAAGTTTTTCTTTGTTTGGTGTTTATTTTACACCATTTTGTTCAATATTAAATTCTAAATTCGATGGCATAATAATAAACTGTTCATAGAGCACGGCTGATTTTTGAAAAGCTAAGTTTCATCGAAAGCCTTGAAAAGATCTTGGAAGCATAGACCAAAAAATTGTCTATATCTATTGGTGCTGAACATTTTACATGTATCATCAAACTTGAGGAGCACAGACTCATACAAATCAATAAATGTCCGAAGAAAATGATACGAGAGTGCAGTTGGGCAGTTAAACACCTGTCATTCAGTTCAATTTTTCGTCGACAAGAAAAATTTATTTGAAACGCAAAGTCGATAGTTTTGTAGAGCAAAAACTTCTCTATCGAATGAGTCTAAAACAGAGTCTTTTATGTCTTGGAAAGTGCTCTAAAAAGAGAGAAACATTTTGTCGCGTTCTTTATGTGTCACCTGTTACAACCAAAATCTACAGAGAATTTTGGGTTACTAGATCAGCGGTATTTGACCCTTCTCTGATGAATAGTTATCTTTCTGAAAAATAACGGTATTCGGTGAAAAACTTTAACATAATCGCTCCACTACAGTTCCAACGTATCTTGAAAAAATTCATGCGATTTATATGTACATTGACCAAAATGACTTTTCAGAAAGGGTGGGAATAGTCTTAAATGTCCGATTACTTTTTAGACCGACTGTAAATGGTCTTCGAAATCCCAGAAACCTCTACTGGCTTTCCAAAATCTCGATCTTTTTCAAACGCTTTTGATGGTTTCCGATAGATTTCTGAGAGTTTGGAAACTTACTATGTAATTTCGAGAAAATGGACTTTTTTAGAGTGTAGTTCGATGAAAAACGATTAGAAAATTTCTGTTATAAGAGAAATTAGAACCTTGAATATAGGAATGTTGTAGGTTTAAAGTCATTACTATAGTCTCAATCTTGTTCAACTCATGTAAGAATTTTGTGGCATCTAAACGCATGTTTGTCCAGAATCTTCGGAAACTTTTGCACCTTCTCTAAGGACAAATTTCTGGCTATATTACCTATGGTAATTCATCTCAGTTCATAAGTTACTCATGAATGATATTTCAATCGATGCTGAATTCGAAACTATATGAAATTGTGTATAATTCATTCCGATAAAATTATCTCATTAGAAGCTACTCAAGTTGACGAATACGGCGTTCATATGCAATGAAATAGGAAGAAAAACAAAGTGATAAATTTTTGTATAGAAATTTTTACTAAATCTAACAGTCATCAATTATACACTTACAAATCCTTATGACTGTCAAATAGTGTGAATTTTTTGTCGTATGCCAAATTTGAAAAATCTTATTCAATGAGTTAATATACAATGATTGACATTTATTGATGGTATTTACCTTGATGAACAACCTCTTATTTATATGTCAAAAATGAATTCATTTACATTTTATATCAATATAGTCATTTGCACTTCTAATGTATTTCATTTGTTACTTATTAATGGTATTCAAAAGACATTCCTTGATTGAAGATACCGTGTTGGAGTGTGGGTCTTACCCTCACTCCCACATCCTAGTTTCAAGAATTTCTTTTTTTCTTTTTGTTCGTTTCAAAACATCGAAAAATCATTGTAGATTTTCATTATTGAACAAACAAATAGTGTCAATTCCATTCATTCAGATATCGACATCGTCGAAGAAAACAAAGCACCAGCTGAACTTGGATCCGAAAATATGCTACCAGATCCATCATTTTTTGAACGATGGGGTGCGCTAATATTATCTATGGCGACATTCATATCAATGGGCATAGTTCTTCTATGGTATAAATACTGCCGTCGTCCTCGTGGTAGATCTGATGTCGATTTAAGAAGACTATATGACACGCTGTATATTCCTTCTCCTTCTCCATATCATAACACAGCTCAAGCTACTGCTTTTTATTTTGATGAAAACGTTGATGCACCGATTGAACGAGAAGAAAATACTGATCAAAATCAAGTGGAAAGAAGGGAAAGTCTACTATCACCGGCACCGCCCACGCCACCTCCGCCGTTCACGCCACCACCCGACTATTACGATTTGCCACCGTATAGTTCGAGACAAATTTGACTAAGTGTCGCGTATATTGTAGTTTTGGCTGTTATTTACACTTGTAAGGAAGGTCGCTAATGGTTGAGGATGAGAATGTGAGTCATTTTGTTTATCATCTTTGAAGAGACCAAAGCGCATTTCTTTCGTTTCGCTTGTCCACGATTGGTTGTGACTGTGGGCGTGGGTGTGGGGTGTGAAACACAGTGAACAGAAAAAAAAGGGACAGGAGCAATTCCCAGGTACCGAATAGCTTTTGAATGGAGACTATGTACATTATGTAGGCTCTCGTGAGCTATGAACGCCCTGAAAAATGTTTCTGCTGCTAGCTTATTTCTGTTGAGATATTTGATTTGTACGGCATTTTTTACTACAACGCCGTAGCCGCCTGCAGGTTTATGTGAAAAATCAGCTTGCGAATTTAGACTTGAAACTCTGTGCAGAGAAAGATCTCAATGAGACTAGTTTATTCTAAACGTTTCATATTTTTAGGTTCCTCCTATCTCGAGATACGAATGTACGAAAAAGTACTCTTCTTCACATTACTTATAGCACAAAAAGTTAAATGTGCATACTTAAGGATAGGAGCAACCAATGAATTTAAAACTTTCAGAATAGACTAGTCTCATTGAGATCTTTCTCTGCACAAAGTTTCAAGTTGAAATCCGAAAGTTGATTTTTCAGGTGAGCTTGAAAAGGATCACGACACTGCGCTAATAAATGTTGTAAAAATCAAATATCTTGGCAAGGGTTCAATGACGCATCTTTGCGCATTCAATGAGGATGGATGATGACACATTCTATCACATAATAAATTAAAACTTCAATTTAAACTTCGGTAGAATCCAACAAACGAACTGCACTATGAATCAGTGACTATTTTTTACTATAATGTTGGTAAGTTTTTGATCTTATTATAGCCTAAAGAACTTCAAGAAGTCCGAACGGCCTGTTATATATAGTAAATACATAACACCGTATAACTATAGAATAACTCAAGAATATAACTAGATCATCAATTAAAAATATAGGTTTTACTTATATGGTCCAATAGATGATATTCACCCATTTTACGTACTTTGTTGTACCTACTATTTAATGCATACTTGCTATAGAGCGATATCCAAAATATACTTAAGTGCAGGACCATAGTAGCTTCAATGCTAGCTATGATATGAGTTCAAATCTCGAAAATCGATTTCGCCACCTGGCTGTCCACTGTGTGGTATGTGGGTTGGTATCAGTATGAATGTTGCTGAAAAGCAGATTCACACTCACAATCACCCCATACCCACACCCTCAGGTGAATATCAACGATTATTATAATAAAAAGACAAAGTAAGTTTTATTTGCATATGAGAACTTAAATTTTCTAAAATATTTCTTAATTTTTTTCAGAACAATGGTTCAATTACCAATGTTAGTTGTTAATTTGAGCACACAAATCGATACTGTTCTTCGTAATAGTCGATAAATAAATGCTTCTGCTTCTTCTGTCCAATATCCAGAACAATCAAATGTTTCACAACAATAATAAATAACTGGTGTTTCATCAATTCTATATTATTCACCTCATTTTTGTTACACAATGCATGTATATTTGATCTCTTTTTTTTCTCAATTAATTATTTTTATAATCGAATAGAAGCAACACCTCCACTTATGCAATTATAACAAAGTTCATCTACTTATCATCTTGTTAATACACCAGGTCTCATTCAAACAGCTACAGCTGTTGGTCAACCTTAAAATATGGTGATTCCACAGGAGGGCCCGCTACTCCAGATCTGTCTTCATTTCATTATAGAGAAGTTTATCCAGGTAAAGTTAATTGAAATCAAATATTTCTTCTTTATTCTTTATTTCTTAAGATTTACGTGCGTACGATTCATATTCATCAGCAACTATTAATCCACCAAGTATTTATTCTCGTTGGCAATTCATTCAATCACATCTCCAGTATCAACAACATGGTTATGGTAATGGGCAAAATATTCCCTCTCAACAAACTTCATCAACTGGTGCTTCAAATAATACTAGTTGATTACCATTTACTTTAGGTCAATCGGATGCTGATTATGGTGGTGCTCCACTACTTACGCCTCAATGTACATTGAATGACGTTATACCAACTGTTTATACTTATGAAGCACCCGCTGGATGAATTCCTGGCCCACAACAAATTTCATCACTTCAAACAAATGTATCGCTTCAAACGAATGCTGCATCTAGTGTTACGTTTGATTCATTTCAACAAATACCATCACAACAAACAACATACATGCATCCAAATGCATATGAGGCACCTGTTTATTTTCCTTGACAGCCTCAACAATCTGAACAATCCAGATCAGAAGGAACAGACCGTAAACAGTAGTAAACGAATAGAAAGCAGTGTCTTTACATTGATTCGTAGATTTGCGCTTGCGAACATCCGTCTACGGTATAGTTGCATATGAATTACAGAACATTTACCTAGCTGTTTACGGAGTACCGTTTATGATGCCGTAATCGGAACCTTTTACCTCCTGTTTTCAGACTATTTTCTAAAAATCTTTCACCAACAGAGCTATACGCTTCCAAGTGAAACCATATAGTATATAAAATACTGGATACAACACAGCATCTCACAGCTCACCACAGTAATGATTTACATTACTATGTAAACGCCCAGTATGCGTACCGTAATCATACTGTATCATTAAAATATGTCACATCTAAGTTTGGACACTATGTAATAGTATATAAGCAATGACTCAGTATGGGTTTCATCCAGTATCACCTAGCGCACTATGATAGAATGCTCCTACGAGCCACTTTATCGTGATTGTAGCTCCTTCTACGATTTTGTCCATTAGAACTTTTTTTTGTTAATGTTAAGCCCTTTTCAAGTAGTTAGAGCTCTTTCACGTATCAATCGATAGCTTTTATCAAGCTCTATCCGATGCTATCAAATGCGACTCTCACAAAGGTCTGTATGTAACTCGCTTCATCGTGACCAATATTTGCTTGACTCATGATTCAAGAAACAGAAATGTAGTTTTGTTTTATTCATTTGCAGTATCTTCAGAATAGATAAGTACCGTACATAAGAAAGGTTACTCTTTCTTACTCTTGATCTCAAAGAGGAAATGTTTTTAGTATCAATCTCGATTTCACTAACTCAGATCTCAGTTAAACTATATGGTATATAAACAGTCACGTATAGTTTATTGGAGCACAATACACCTAAACAGAACTGAAAGTAGTTGGAAGAAGGGTATGAGTGTCTTGATCTTCTCATCATTAACACGTACACTCACACCCACAACCACCCCCCTCCCCCCACCCATCCTCATACTAAGCCTCTAGTCAACTATTATGCTTACTTCCTATCAAAGATTGTAGCAAGCTAAGTGTTTAAAGATTACGATGAAGATGAATAGTCCATAATAAGCTTCCATTCAGATATCTTCCTTAGTTCATGGCGAATATTTGAAACTCGTTAAATATTGAAAGGAGATAGGACACTCGAATGATTTGAACAAAAATTTTCTTCCTGTATTTTATTCATTTCAAATTAATCATTCACAATTAGTCAAATGGCCGATGATTGTATAGAATTGAAACAGTTCATACTGAACTTTTCTCATCAAATATGTTACTGACTTTAAACACAAGTTTTAGGTCCGGAATTATGATCGATGATCAAATTGAATATGAATAGATCATTTGAATCTTTGATTCAAATATTCTATTCACATCAAAACATAGATTCCAAATTGATATTATAATTCACGATGATATACCAACCAAAAAAACCAAAGCAGAATCTTATTCAAGTATGCTGCTTATTCTTAACTAATGATTGATGAATATTACGATAATCAAATATTGTTTGAGAAATAAATAGTGTCAACAACAAAGGTTCTATCTTAGTATTTTATTTGCACTATGTTCACAATTTGAAACTCAGAATCAAATCAAATAATACATGGTACATGAATGACTTATCTCAAACTGACATTTGAATATATTAGTTACTTCACAACACAAATTGAAATTTTCATTATGATGGTAGAATGCATAGTGGCAGAATAAATCAAAATCTTGAGTTTCGATTCAAATAACACGCTCACTCGAAGACAGAGCTTGCAGTGATAATTTACTCGTAGATAATAAAGCGAATGAATAGATCGTATAAAGTTTCTATTCACTTATTTTGCTCATTTGAGAGAAGAGATCTAGAATTGGCAATGTATTCGATACTATGTAGTTATTGATCAATTTGCACAAAATTTCTATTCGAATATTTGGTTCAGTTCAAACGAAAGCATTGACATTCGATATAACTTGATAATTACGCAGAAAATCAATAGTTCGTACTAAGCTTCTACACCGTTGGAAAAAATATTATTCCAGGGGGGTAACGCTATAATTTCAAATAGAAGACATAATAAATTTTATATCACATGAAAGCTCGTTAAAAATGGGGTTTATTGGTATTAAATAGTGAGGGTTATGAAAACCTTTTAATGTCAAGCTTAATAAATTTTCAGAAGTTTTATACTTTTTTTGGGATGGAAAATTAAAGTACTAGTGATTCAAGAATGGAGTAAAATGTTTTTCTTGAATATTTTTACACGGTTCGATAGAGCTCATCGAGCTCTATAAAACTGTATACATTAAAAAATTTTTAAGTCACTTTTTTTGCGATAAAAAGTTCAAAAAACTATTTGGAAAATCTTAGAAAACATGAAAAAAATTCATATTTTTCATGTGGAAGAACAACACTTACTTTTTCAATAAAAGTAGCTTTTTTCATTGTTTTTACTCCGTCATGCGTTTCGAAACATACTCATTAGACGCAGCTTTTCACACTGCATCGAACGAGTATATTTCGAGACGTCTGAGGTAGTAAAAACAACGAAAAAAGCTACTTTTATTGAAAAATTGAGCGTGTTTCTTCAATTTGAAAAAAAAAGAGTTATTAAATGTTTTTGAGGTTTCCCGAGTAGTTTTTTGAACTTTTTATCTCAAAAAGATGCCTCAAAAAACTTTTAACATGCACAGTTTTGTAGAGCTCAACGAGGTCTATCAAACCATATAAAAATATTCAAGAAAAAAAATTGACTTCATTTTTGAATCAGTGGCACCTTGATTTTCCACCCCAAAAAACTATAAAATTTCTGAAAACTTCTTAAGTTTGACATTAGAAAGTTTTTACAAGCCTCACTATTTAGTATCAATAAACCCCATTTTTGACGAGCTTTCATTTGATATAAAATTCATTATGTCTTCTATTTGAAATTATAGCGTTATCCCTCCCCCCCCCCCCCGGAATAATATTTTTTCCAACCGTGTACTCTCTTGTTAATTGCAGCTGTTCTTCTTCTCCGTCTCGTTGTAGCAACGAACGGTAGAATAGCTTCTTTGAACAGTGCGACTTCACGGATCATTCTGCTACTATTCAACAGGAATATCTTGCAGTAATCCACAGCAATATGCTGGCAGGGTTCTGTGCGATCAGTGGGATAAATTGATGTTCTATAATCATTATCTGTTATGTATTTCTCTCTAGGCGGCTACTGTGGTGAATGCGTGAGCTTTGTCAAGTAAACTATGGCTATTTCTTATTGAACATATCTACAAGTATATTTATTTAGAATTTGCACGGGTGACACGAGAAGGACCAGATATTGGGGTCAAGGACAAAAGGTAGAAGAGATCAAAATAAGAAATTGTTGATAATATAATAGACATTTTCATTGCACAAAAAATATAGGTTCGAGGAGCGAACATTCCCTATGGCACGGCGATCGCTACGTTTACTGAAGGTCAATATGATGAAGGCCACGCCGCCATCTATACAAGTCAAGATGCCAATGGTATTCAGGTTTGGGATCAGGTACTGACATTTGAAAATACATGAAAATGTACAATTCATTGACTTCTTTTTTTTTTTCAGTGGAAGGGTAAGCCCGTCTCGCAGCGAACAATCCGTTGGAATGGAGGAAAACCTTCGAACAACGGTGATTTCTTCTATGTCATCAATTGAATACCATTTTAATTCCATATATTTCTGACTCTTATTATTCACTTATGCTAATAAATCAAGATATGTACCGTGAGGTGCTCTTCTCTAGATATATGACGAAAACAAATCTTTTGACAGACAATCTTCAAGACCAGTGGCATACGCAGAAATTTTTTACGGGGTGAGCCTAGCTCATTAAATCGGAGGTTAATCAGAACGAATTTTTTTCGAGCTATATTTTTTCTTTGAATCTTGAGTAATTATGCATAACCTTCGATCGATAGAGGGAAAGCTAGGTTATCTGCCTATTATATTATAGTTGAGAAAGTATGTTGTCTTCAAAGCGAATTAAGCTCATCTTCAAAACTCATGACGTACCCATCAAGGAAAATAACTGAAATTTTTCCGTCGACTTCGTACAAAGGTAGAGCAATGTCGACTCTGGATGGAACGAAAAAATCGGATTACTTCTCTATTCTTGTTTTAAAATTATTCAAAAAATGCCCACGACCATTTAACTCTGAAATGAAGAATAATTTATATTTTTTACAAGACCAATGTAATTTTTCATTTTACAGTTTGTCTCAAAGTCTCTTCCTTAAAGTTTTTTCGTTCCATTTCACTATTGACTGGATTTCATTGACAATTTGTTTTTGTATAATAGATAAATGCACGACATTTTTATTTCTAAAGACGAACTTGAAAAGCATTGTCGAAAGTTAAGACATTTAGCCAAAATGCAAAAATGTAGCCTGTTTTCTCTTTTCGGAAATGCTCATGGATGATATCAGTTTTAATTGCTTGAATTTTGATTCGGTATTATCCATTTTGTTTTTATGAAGACATACCGAAAAAAAATTCTGTAAAACGACCGTTTCAATATTGAATAATTTGAAGATTCGAAGCACTCAATAATTCGAAGTTATTAAAAAAGAAATACTATGTGATACTTTTCTAGCAAAAGAAAACAGGCTAAATTTTTGTATTCCGGCTAAATATCTTAACTTTCAACAATGCTTTTGAAGTTTGTCTTTAAGAAATAAAAACTTTGTGCATTTATCTATTATTCAAAAAGAATAGTCAATGAAGTTCAGCCAATGGCGAAATGGAACGAAAAAGCTATTAGGAAGAGACTTTTGGGACACACTGTAGTTTTCTTTTCACGAAGAAAAACGAACAAGGAGGTTTTCTTCTTGTAATATATGATTCTGTAGCCTTGAATTTTAGATTGTTCAGGTTTTTCATGCATTAAAAGCGATTAAACGGCATGTGTGTGGATGTGGGTTTGAATATACATGGTAGCGATACCCACACTCTAATGTCTTGTCTAAAATCTTTGGCTTTCTTTATTTGATTGTTGCATTCGATTCCATTCATGCCATTCTTCAGACGATAAATCATCAGGTTCACTTTCGGGTCCTTCTATCCATTTCCATCGTTGTGCTATTTCGCACAGAATGAAGAGTAATATCATCATGGCATAACCTACAGTGAATCGCCATCCATCATCTGTTTGTTTATACAAGACGCCCAAGTTTGAGGAATGAATTAAACCGAAGAAAGAGAGTAGACCTGCTAAAAACGACCATAAGGCACCTCGGATGAATTTTCGGTCGATCATATACATAAGAATTGCCGTAATCAAAATACATTGAAGGAGACTGCCGCCAGCTAAATTGGAAAGTCCATGATAAGAGAAATCAGTTATATGAGGCGTAACATTCTGAGCAAAGTCTACGTTCGGTAAGGTCACATTTAAGTAGGCAACTGCAACACCGTTAATTATTGTTCCTCGTGCCCAGTCAGCCACTACAGGTGTTAAACCGAGAAGAAAGGCAATATAATGACGTGGAGGCGTTATTGCAAGAGTTTCAGCACACATAAAAAGACCGATGAAAATCTGCGTGTATAATTAGAGAAATAATTGATGCAAAAAAAAACATAAAATACTGACAATGACCGGATTAACAGCAACAACAGCGATTATTCTGATGAAAAGAGCGATTATGCCAAAAAAGCATAATGGTGCATAAGCCAAACAATTGATCACTGAATAGGCTTGCCTTGCGCCCATCCTTTTATATGCTGGATGACCAATATAAACTATAGATCAGACAAAAACATAATAATCTAATTGCTAATAATTTCTTTTTGTAAAACATGATTGTTAAGGAGAGTGAAAGTACCACCGGGTGTGAGTGCGGTGCTTGAGTTGCTACTTCGAATTCATCGATCCGTTCATCCACATCCACATTCAGACTCACACGCACACCAACACCCATAGCCAGCAACATACATTTCTACACATCCGTCATGGTTTAAAACTCTTTAGGATTTTTGCAACATTTCTGTAGTGATTTGCATGAGAAGCGGACAGGTCCAAGTTTCTTGCAATATACTTCAATATTCGTTAGGAATCGGGTTTCACAGAGGCATTTCTGGTTCAAAAGTGATTTTATTGTTGATCATTTCATGCAGGACTCTCTGAATGCTCCAAACCAGTCGATCCATAAACATGATTGTTGCAAAATTTGGAAAAAGAAATATTTATTCTGTGCTGATTATTGTTTTGCAAAAAACTACGATCATATCTAGGTTTTCCCACTTTTACGCCGTTTCTGCGAAATTTTTGACCCACCTGTATTACAGATTTGGCAGGTAATCTAGTTCGGACAATGGATACTTAGTACAGTACTTAAGTACAAAAAGCATGTTTAATTCCTGTATCAAGGCACCATCTAAGTATAGCTGAAGTTCACGTGAGAGTTTATCAATTGATACCAGTCTGATAGATACCTTGCTTGCTAATGTGCCTCAACAATAACTTTTCTTCCGCTGGTTTACATCATATTTACGGTGTCTAGCCTGAAGCAATTCTTCACTGGATGATCTGCATAGAAATATCGGTAAAACCAATCCTACTTGGTGAAATAGTAAATTTTTATTGATAAGATCAATTGTAACATGTTCTCAAACGAGTTTTGGATGCTGTTGCTCTAGTTATAGACAATTCGATTTCAATCAGTTCCACTAATTCGATAACTTTGCAATAATCTACTGGTATCACAGAAACCTTCTTCGACGTAACAATTAGATATCCAATGGAAACAACTGCCACACGAAGCTCTCACTTGATTATCGATCTCTCTGTGATCAATTATGACCTCAAATATTTTCAAAAAAAGTCGAAGGGATTATCAACTAATTGTATGATCCAGTAGTGATAGATGATGAACCATTTAATTATCCTGTCTATTTTATGGCAATCTCACTCTATCCATCATTGAAATTCTTTCGGATGCATTATCTGAAGTTAGAAACAAGTGTTGAAACAAAATTGAAAACGTCCGTGATTGATCTAGCTTTGAACAAAATTAACTTTTTTGGTCAACAGTCACGAGCAGTCATCAATCACCACAATCAATATCTCGGTAACCGCGAGTAAATCTCAAAGTCGATGAAGAACACAAAAGCTATTTCATTACGATAAGATCGATCACGATTCGAATTAAAATCTTAATTACTAGTCCTCGGCTAGAGCTCCAAACGTTTCTCGATGACTCCGTCAAATCAAAATCAGCATACCAACTACATATATGATTGTCTCCTTTGAAACAATTTGTCAAACACATTCTCACTGTGTAAGTTTTGTCAGTATCTATCGAACGTGGCTTTTCACACGCTGGACTGGATTTATCGTCCTTGAGGACTTCTGCGGGTCTCATCGAGCACGACAAACCAGTACATATCGGATTCGAAACGGTACGTCACAATTCGAGATCTTTCCTCCCACTTCCAAAAATAATCGAGAATCATCCCAAAAGATAGTTTTTCGAAACACGATAGACAATAAGCGTTAAAGTATGAAGCGAGCAAGTTGGACACTCTTTCCGCACAGATCGTGACAGATATTTCAATATGTTAGTCTATATGACCCTCAAGTATAACACAATCAATGTGAATAAGATATTGTTATCAAGTGAAGTGGATCTCACATGTTTGACATATTAATTCCACAAGTTTACACATAAGGGTCTCTCTCTCTCTCAAGCACTACGAAACTGCTAGTTAGTTTTTCTTCTGCTGCAAAGTAGCAAGAAGTAAAACAAAGAAGATCAGTTTTTAAAATCAAAGTGGAATATATTGAAATTTGACAATAGTATTTACTAAATGTTTCATATATTTCAGACTATAACCGAACATTCTTTACAACCTTGTGAAGAATTTTACAGATCATTTTGTGACTAAAGCCAGCACAAATAATTGAAATGGTATGAATGAAAAGTGAAAATCAATATTGGCTCATTTTCCTAAGAATTCTCGACAGTGGATAAACAGAAAGTTGTTGATCGACTTGTTATTATTTTTCACTATTAACATAGTTTACCGAGACTTCAAGAACTGAAGAATTATACATGCAGATACCTTCAACAACTAGAAACTAGAGGGACCTTACAATCCTCGAGTCACCCAGTTAAGACATCGCTGACTATTTAATATTATCCAATAGATACCTTTCAGAAAGTCACTCTCTGTTTTAACTCATGGAAATCGACAATTTTTTTAAGAAAAGGAGAAATTTTAGAAAGCAGGAAAAAACAGAATATCATAGAACTGCCAATAGAAGTAGATAAAGTAGAATTTTCCTGACAAACAAAAAGAACTATTATTGGTTTAAACAAGAATAAAACATCTAACCAGTCATGCCAAGAATTGAGCCAAATAAGCTTGCAAGTATTGTTCCAACTCCATCAGCAAACATGGCCTCACGAGTCGGGTAGAAATCACCGGCTCTCTTTGCTGATTCAACACATTGTATAGTTCCAATAGCAATTGAAATACCTGTTGGAATAATGATGGATAGGTACGGACCGATACGATTCATATTTTCGAACATGCCTTGAACAGGAAATACTGGCGCATATGGTTTAACTAATTTACTGGCGTCACGTACATCTTGTGCCTCATTTGTTGATGTCGCCCAGCCGAGAGCAGTGCCAATAATTAGAGCTACAATGGCTATTGGTACACGGCCAATTTTGACTAAGCGAAGAGAAAGGAATGAATGACGATAAACTCTGTCATGACGGACTCTACGGGATTAAAAGGTGAAACATTACATATCAGTCCATTACAACTCAATACCCGTGACATCATACTGACAATGTCCATTCGGCTGGTGTTACAGGTACGGAAATATTGTCATGCATGAGAAGCTATGATGGGCTGACATGGAAAGCTGTGCGATATTATGTTTTTTCCACTGTCTATGGCAAAGTCAACGTATTATTATAGGTGGTAACAAGCACCATAGGATAATGTCTATCACGATCTATGCAGTGTCCGAAACTGAAGTTTCTGACAATATACATCAATAGTCATTAACAATTATCTTTCATAAAGACATATTCATGCTCACCTTTTCCACAATAACCGAGAATGACAATGGAAAATGGTAGAAACGATACCATAGGTGTAGCAAGCACAGGCAAATACTGATTCAATGCCAAATAGGTAAACCCAATGGCCGATATGGATGAGAGAAGTGCAACGCTGGGTGTATTCTTTCTAATGAACTCGCCAAACAAGCACAGAACAAGTATAATGATTCCCGTTATGAAGTTACTTCCTAACGCAATGTACCAGACACGTTCTTGACACATTCGTTTGTTCTGTCCGTTGTTATCAACTATACACTGGTAATACGCAGGAAAGATTATACCAAAGATAAATGCAACTGAAAACAAATAAACAGACGAATGCAAATGATGCCTAGTGACAATTACATGCTCCTGGTGTATTAATTCCATACGGCATTGTGCATACATCGCCGCGTTTCTCCTTGTATGCAAGCTTTCGGGCCATGTAGACATAATAAATATTACCCCATAACATGGTCAGAGCCACGCTAAACAAAAAAATGCTACAGTGCGTTATCTCGCTACCTTAAGTTTTTACCCAGTTACGATCTTTCCATACACAATGTCAGAATCAAATACAGGTTGAAGTGCAAGAATAATTGCCAACAATGTTGCTAAATTATCGATAAACAATGCAACAAATCCATCAATGTCACCGTGTAGAAACAGGGGATATTTTGAATTGGATCGAAAAGCATTAAGCCATTCTTTAGGATGAAATGTCAGCAGTATACGTATTTCATCAGATAACGTAAGCCACTGTTGTTTGAAAAAATGGCTAAACTTCTCGGTTTTCATAATGACTTCTCCTGAATTTTCTTCAATCGATAACCGTTCTTCTTTTGGCAGCGTACAACTCGAAGAAGACACCTATTATATCTGAAATAACTACACATCGAACAGAATAGAAGTTATTGCAAGAACAAATGAAGAATAATGAACTCTCATTTCTGTCCAAAAGGAATGGTCATGAGCGTAAGGTATTATAGACGGAGAAAAGCTAAGAGCATGTATGATGATCGAACACGAACTCATAAAACAATAACTAACATTGAAAATCAGAGCTGCTCATGGAGGATATATTCTGTTCTAGTAACAAGACAAAAATTTTTTACCGTTGGCATACGATCCTATTGAGGACGTGGGTATCAGTTCGGGCTAATGATACAGGAATGTAGATGTGTATGAGTTTTGATTACATAAAAACCCGCATCTTCACGCCCACCTACATTCTCAGAATAATGATAGAAACTGAACCACAGAGACATTTGAGCAGATTACCATAAACCATAGCTTGAATCCTTTCCGATAATTAAAGGGATCATTGCGACATGGTATTTATGCCATATCAGCTACATGGACACATATAAAATGGTATACTGAGAAGACCTCAAAATGATTTTTTCAGAAGTGTCGAAAGTCATTCTTCATCCGAACATAATTTGGAGAAAAGATAGGGTTCATGACACACTTAAGCATCACATGGTTTTGTAAGGAGGACAGGTAACCATGACACACGATTATCGATCTAGGTCTTGTATTGATCTCATGTCGTCCTCGCAGAATTCTATTCAAGGTCAATGTGTGTAAATGCTTTAGATTACTTTGTTTGTCTCTGTCTCTCACTGATGCACTATATTAGTATTTGCTTTCTATTACAACAGTACTTTATCACAAGATTAATCTGAGCGACTCTAAAGTCTACCACAAAACTTTTGTTTTATGATTAATACATCCATAGTAAATAGCAACTTACACAGATATGTAAACTATGAAAACTGAAAAAAAATCTCTCATTTTTTGTTTTTTTCTAAAACAAAATGAAAGGTTACACGACATTTTTGTAATACGTTAATCTCAACAACAAAAACATTTTCTGACATGGAAAATCAAGATTAAAACAGAATGTCAAGTTGGATCGATCACATGTAGGACTAATGAAGCCGATAAAAATTATTACTTTCACTTAGTGTCAATCTATTTTGGTAAACTTGAGAAAACAATGTCCGATTTATAGTGTATGAAGAAATCAGGCATGCTCAAAACTGATTAACTATAGAAAGAAAATTGGTGACGAGAAATCTGCTGTCTTGAACGAACAAGACGTCATTTTATTGTCTCCTATATATGCATTTTTTACTATTCTTATTGTATGTTGTCTGAAAAAGGAGGAGATTAAGCACCGCGCAGTAACCAATTGTGATATATGTCCCGTACTTGCCATACATTTTAAGTAGAGAAATCGTTAATCCTTTTTTTTTTTTGATAACAAAAATAAATACTCAAAAAGACAAACAGCATGTGAGACATGTCGCATATTCTTATGTTTTTACGCGACAAATGTTCTTTGCCAACAATGTCATAAAATGTCGTCCTAGTTAACTAAAAGTTGACATTGATAAGCCGAACAGAAGAAAAACTGATGCCATCAAGCTCAGCAGATGAGCAAATGAAAAAGCTAATGGATTATTGGACGTCAGAGTCAGTTCTCCATGTTGAGTAGTTGAAGGGTGGGGTATGGGGATGGGGATGGATGTTAAAGAAGAAGCAGAGAACACCCACATCCAATAAGAGTCAAACATGAACATAGGATATCCAATCTCACAAAAGTAAATAGTGAACCTTTTAACTTGCTCTTTCCTACATCCAATGGATTTAAAATTAAATTTTTTTAACCCATGAAGAACCAAAATTTTATTTCCATAGATATCGTAAAAATACTTTTTTGTGTAAAAAATACGTATGATTTTCAAAGATTGACCTATAACTTTGCATAGGTTCAGTTAACAATTCTGATTTTTATAATGTAAATACTAGAAGATGTGATGATTCTTTTGATATCCACCAAGTCTTAGAAAGTTCTTATTTTGATTATTTTTCATCGAAAACAAAATTGTACTAATCATTTTTGCGGCATCTATATATATAGAAGGGTTAGACAAATTTTTCATTTTCTTAAAATATAGGGTGTCTCAAAATTATAGGACCCCACTCAAATTTTTTAAACAATAAAGCTTTCTTCAACTAAAAAGGTTTTATTACCGATCGAATGCCATAGCTATGGACATATAGTAGCAGTCTATCATGTATTATATTGATTTGAATTTAATCAATTCGCATTAATGAATAAATTCAAAAACTTTCGAATTTCAGATGTCCCATAATTGTAGGATCACCCTTTCTCAAATATAAAAATATTGAGTTAATGTTAATTTTGTCAAGTCAAATGATTCTTTTTCACCAGCAACGAGCAATTAAAAATCAATTAGGCTACAATTATTTAAACTTATTGGGATCACAAAAGCCAGTGCTATTGAAAAGAAGTTTGCTACTCTTAACTAGGAGGCAAGCTCCTTCGCTTTTGTGAAACACGATCTAACAGGAGTGTTGAAATATATAGTGGTAGAAATTTGGACCCGCCCCCTCTCACAGTGGACAGAAAAGGGGACCAGAAGCAATTCTTTTAATGACTGCAGCTAATAACTTAATATTTTGTGTACATTTAGCTAGCACTTCATAGCGATTATCTGTGTTTATTCAACTTCTCTTACTCAAAAACTCCTGGAAAATGAAGTTTTCGACTATCGAAAACTGCAAATTAGCACAATAAAAAGTCGTTGTTCCATTATAATGTTGTTTAGCAAAAACGAGACAACAATTTTTTTCTCATATACTTGATACAATTATTAACTATGAATTATATAAATCTGCCATGGATTAACTATGCTTCGAAAGCCTGAAACAGGTTATCATCAATAATGCGTTTCTAACTTTTAAATCCTCGCAGAAAAAATAAATAATAAGGGTCCAAAATTAGACACCATTTTATAGTTTTCATTCGATATTCATCTTAATGTACGAATTACCTAAATGTAAAATCTTAAGACTTGTAAGGAAAAGTTTACTATTTGGTTATAGTGAAGCACACATATACGTATGTGTCAAACATCTTTAGAAAAAATATGTGTTTTAGTAGTTTATTACTTGAAAAAACCCTCTTGGTAGCAAATTATAAATAAGTTATTAAGCAGGCGATGCATATAGTTCAGAATAACTAAAGTTTTGCTTAAAAGAGGGACAAACTAAAACACACGTGGTAATGTAAAATTTTTAGAAAGCCTTAAAATCTCTAACGAGGATTGACTACACAGTTGCATTTTTTTTAATAATGTCGGTCGTTTATAATTTGATTGTCCGACATTAGTCACAAGTAACGGTCAAGCTCAATTAATAATTTTAGCTAGGTAAATGTTTACAGAGAAGATACAGTTTCTTTTTTTTTAATTTTATTTATGCATCAGATAATCTTTTAAAATGTACAAATGAGGATGGAAAAAAAGTACCCAAACTCGAATCATCACATATTGAAGGAGATTCATAAAATTCAAATGTTCAGCTTTGACACAAGTCTGGTTGTGACATGTAAATGAGCTCACTGATGCTATGAAGTTTGTTACCAAAACAAAGCGAAATGACAGGAATACTTCGAGTTATTTTATAGTATATTGCGAGTTCCAGCAATGTCTCTCTGGTATGTTGTAGAAAATTTTTATAAATATTATGCGAAGTCTGAAATCATTCTGTAATTTGTCCTAAAACGTATTAAAATGAGTTTTCAAACATTTCATATTTTCTGAAGTTCTGTTTAAAACCTAAATTTCTTGATATTCATTGTATGTATTGCAATCCTTGTTAGCTCTTAGTACGAAAATTATTCATTTCCACTTACATTATCTGTCTCGAACGAAATTTGGAAAGATCGTGCAACTCGATGTATTTTTACGAACGGAAAAAATATTAAGTATGAAACAAATCATTTATGCACTCGGACAAAAGTCTTTTCCCTTTTATCTTTTTACGCTGCTATACTTTGCATTAACTTTATTATTGAGTACAGATATAACATAAGAGTTTTATTAGTATGATCTGTAAACTGAAATGAAATAAAACTTTCATGTCATATCTCTACTCAGTAATAAATTTAATACAAAGTTTGACATCATAAAAAGGTAAAGAGGGAAAAGATGTTTGTTTGGAGGTACACATGTTACAAGAGAACCTATGCATGATTTTTTCACATATTTAATTTCTAAGAAGGAGTCAAAGAACCCATTTTAACATGAAATGGCCAATCTAAAACATGAAGTTGGTGTACATATGTTGTTTATTTATCTATTCAAAACTGGATGGACTGGTACATGAGTGATCTCTGTATAAAAATTGCCAACAAATTTTGATAGAAGGTTACACTTAAGACACTATATCTCGACAAGAATTTAAACGTGCATCTTTGCGCATCTACCGAAGATAGATGATGACATGCTCTACCAAATAACAGATTAAAACTTAAATTAAAGTTCCGAGAAAATTCGGGGAAATTACTGCATTATTGACCAGTGCCTATTTTTATACTGTACTGCGTGTAAGTTTTTGATCTAATTATAGTCTAAAGAACTTCAAGAAGTCCAAATGGTCTGTAACATATAGTGAATATATAACACTGTGTAACTATATAATAACTAATGATTATAATTAGATCGTCAATTTAAAACATACAATTTACTCATATAGGTCTATTAATGATATTCACCAATTTCATGTACTTTGTGATGCCTGCTGCTTAAGAGACATTCACTATAAAGCAGCGTTCAGGATATACTTGAATGTAGCACTATAGTAGCTTCAATGTTAGTTATGATATAGGCTCAGATCTCGAAAATCGATTTTGTCGCCTAGTTGTCCACTGTGTTCCCGCACAGACCATGACGAACGTTTTTGATACACGATTAGCAATCGTA